AACCGACAAAATCTCATCGCACAGCCTTATCAACAAACAAAATCTCACACACAGCCTCTCACACACAGCCTCATCAACATCACACAGCCTCATCAACAAACAAAATCTCATCACACAGCCTCATTAACAAACAAAATCTCACCACACAGCCTAATCAACCGACAAAATCTCACCACACAGCCTCATTAACCGACAAAATCTCACCACACAGCCTTATCAACCGACAAAATCTCATCACACAGCCTTATCAACAAACAAAATCTCATCACACAGCCTTATCAACCGACAAAATCTCACCACACAGCCTCATCAACCGACAAAATCTCATCACACAGCCTCATCAACAAACAAAATCTCACCACACAGCCTTATCAACCGACAAAATCTCACCACACAGCCTTATCAACCGACAAAATCTCATCACACAGCCTTATCAACACAGCCTTATCAAAATCTCATTATCACACAGCCTTATCAACAACAAAATCTCATCACACAGCCTTATCAACAAAATCTCACCACACAGCCTCATCAACCGACAAAATCTCATCACACAGCCTTATCAACTGACAAAATCTCATCACACAGCCTTATCAACCGACAAAATCTCATCACACAGCCTTATCAACCGACAAAATCTCACCACACAGCCTCATCAACCGACAAAATCTCACCACACAGCCTTATCAACCGACAAAATCTCACCACACAGCCTTATCAACCGACAAAATCTCATCACACAGCCTTATCAACTGACAAAATCTCACCACACAGCCTTATCAACCGACAAAATCTCATCACACAGCCTTATCAACCGACAAAATCTCATCACACAGCCTTATCAACCGACAAAATCTCATCACACAGCCTCATCAACCGACAAAATCTCATCACACAGCCTTATCAACCGACAAAATCTCACCACACAGCCTCATCAACAAACAAAATCTCACCACACAGCCTCATTAACAAACAAAATCTCATCACACAGCCTTATCAACCGACAAAATCTCACCACACAGCCTCATCAACAAACAAAATCTCACCACACAGCCTCATCAACAAACAAAATCTCACCACACAGCCTTATCAACAAACAAAATCTCACCACACAGCCTTATCAACCAACAAAATCTCACCACACAGCCTCATCAACCGACAAAATCTCATCACACAGCCTCATTAACCGACAAAATCTCATCACACAGCCTCACAAAATCTCACCACACAGCCTCATCAACAAACAAAATCTCACCACACAGCCTAATCAACCGACAAAATCTCACCACACAGCCTTATCAACCGACAAAATCTCATCACACAGCCTCATCAACCGACAAAATCTCACCACACAGCCTTATCAACAAACAAAATCTCACCACATGACCTCAACCTCTAACAAAAACTGATCACACAGCCCTAGCATGAACATCACTCCTGACCAAACTATCCTGGATTGCGTAGCCCAAACAACAACGTCACTTGTAACAAGACTATCTTGATCAGATAGCCCAACATCAACCTCCCTCTTGACCAAACTATACCGGATGACATGACCACACTTTCCGAGATCGGTCAGCACCACTACATCATCTTGACCACTCTAAACAGGATCGAACAGTCCCAGCATCAACATCATTCTTGACCATACTATCCAGGATCTGAGAGCAATGCTCTAGTTCAGTCCTGCCATACCTGTCACAGTTAGTTTTAATTAATGCTAGCGATTCAAGCCTGGAGATCAGATCAAGCCCTATAGCCGGTACTGAGTTCATACACAGGATAGTAGGTCAGTCCAAGCTGATACCAGTTCACCTCCCACCAATCTATAACACCGCTAGCAAGGATTTCTATGTCAGTTACCAATAACCATTAAATACCTAATTCTTAGCAGATAAGCCATTTTTTATTTAGATGATTGGCATTTTGTGAAAACTTGACCGGAGTTTGGCTCCCTAGCCGATAATGTATAGTTTTTACCCGGACATTAGGAAAAGATTTTGGAGATAGCAATTAAATGCCTTCCTGCATGTCTAAACATACTACTGGTACAGTCTACTCAGCAAAAACCCAAATTCCTGTTTACAACATGATGGGATTTGGCAATGTTGATATAATGGAATATTTCCAGTAACAGATGTTGGCTGTGGTGGTTTGTTTTTTCTTTTTAAGCCAAAAGCATGCAGCGTCTATTAACCAAGTTCATTTACCTTTTTACAGCCACCAAAAACTTTTGAATACCCTCAATACTACAGAAATGTTCATTTACCTTTTCATGGCCACCAAAAACTTTTGAAATCCTTCAATGCCACAGAAATGTTCATTTACCTTTTCATGGCCACCAAAAACTTTTGAAATCCTTCAATGCCACAGAAATGTTCATTTACCTTTTTACAGCCACCAAAAACTTTTCTTTTGAAACTCTTCATAACTGCAGAAATTTTCAGTTACATTTGTATTGCTAATCAGAAATAACAAATGTAGATAAACTAGACTTGTTTAATAGATAAATTAGTTTTGCACAATTTGTACAAAACTATTCATAACTAACATGGCATGTAATAAGACCATGTATCTTATATAGTAACAAACTTCATAACATATGTAATGCTGTTTCACACAGCTCTAATTCTGTGGAAATGTTCAGGGTCTTATAAGCGATTTTCTTCGTTTCTATATTGGCTTTGTACACTGTATTTATCTAGTAATATGCTCATGCCAAGAAATAAGTCCACCTGCCTCTATTGCAGTTTTAACAGAAATATTAAAAAATGCTCCATTATCATTCAGTATTAAGCACATCGCTTGATTTTGAGTATTATGTGTTGACCACCAAGGATTATTGTAGAATAAATACGGTAAACCTATAATCCTGAAATCAATAGAATAAATACGGTAAACCTATAATCCTGAAATTAAATAGAATAAATACGGTAAACCTATAATCCTGAAATCAATACCCAAATGCCATCATTTAAATTACACTATCTTTCTCTCAGAATGTCATCAATCTTAATTTCACTTGAATTGAATAAGGATGATAAACTTCAATTAACTTAACTTTCTTTAACAACTTAATAAAACTCCTTGCTCGTCTTTTAAGATGGAATCTGATAACTTAAATGCAATGAAACATTCACATCCATTCACTGAAGGAGCATTTGTAGTGGACTTAAAACCATTTAATAAAATAATAAATAAATAAGACTTTCCTTCCATTACCATTAATGAAATTCACAAAACTTCCAAAAATGCTCCGAGAATGTAGGGAAGTTTACAAAAAGGTGAACAAACTGCTACAGAAACTGAAGGCTTTACCATGGCACCTGTTGGCCATACACCAGCCAGGCTGGGAGTGGTGGACTCGAGAGTAATGTCGGGATGGGGAGTCGGCACTATGTATATTACCTACCTACCAGCAAGGGTGTAGGGGGATTTATGTCAATGTACTGATAACTAGGTTCATTCTACTAGATCTAGCCTAGGCCAGAAAGGAAGGAATTATAAAGAGGGGAAGAGGAAGACTGAAGGGGTAGTGGGGTTAATAGAGGGATGGGGGGGGGGGATAGATAGGAACAAGCTATAGGGAGGTTGGAAGGTATAGATAATGATAAGGAGAAGGAAAGAGGTAGACAGAAGGGCTACTACCGATATCCTTGAAAGTCCCTCAGTTTGAATTATAGCCTGCCCTATGTTTCTGGAATTGTGGATTTATAAAGAAGAAATATGACTGAAAATTCTGATCTCCTTGATATGCCTAAGTTTAAAACATACAGCTAGATAAGTTTTGGGCTACATAATAGACATACAGCCACAAAAAAAAGTAGATGGGGCAAGCTGCTGATAATACCTTTAGCATGGCAGAACAGAAATAAATCCTCTTTTGATATCAGTACATCAATAATTTCCTTAATTTTCAAGAAAGAACTGAGAATGAGGAAAAAGTTGTAGGAGAAAGAGAGATGAATGCCTACATGGCATTTCTATTAAAACCACAAAACCCAAGAGATCAGTGTACATATCTACAACAGAACTTAGGTAGTGGTAACAACCAACTGCCTGTTCTGTCTGCTAATAATATTTGCAAACTAATCATACTATAACCACAAATTTTCACAACCTATATCCAAGTAGAAACACTATATCCTGTTGTATATTTGAGACAGTAAGTGTCCACCCTTCAGCGTACATGTTTATATTCCCAGCATAACACCCACACATGTCCATTCTGCATCAATGCCCACCAAAAAAACTTCCACCAGGAATATCATCAGACAGCAAATCTGTCAACTCCTTGACCTAAAGACCTAGTTTTTGCTGATAAAAATACTGTTAGCAACAGCTTTATATATAAATATTAGTGATATATCATGTGTTCATAGTGCCTTTATGGATTTGTCAGTGTAGTTAGTTGGCTTTGGCTCAACACTTTTTCATCTACCTCTGATCTTATACACCTGTAACAGTACATGGGGCTAGCCAGGATGGAGGTTGTGCTGAAAATGATGAAGTCCATAGCAACCAGAAATGATGAAGTCAATAGCAACCAGAAATGATGAAGTCCATAGCAACCAGAAATAATGAATTTAATAGCAACCAGAAATGATGAAGTCAATAGCAACCAGAAATGATGAAGTCAATAGCAACAAGAAATAATGAATTTAATAGCAACCAGAAATGATGAAGGCGAAATTGATCATAAAGTAGGTAAATGTGAACAGAAAAGATGGAGTCAATAATGATTAGAAATGATGAGGTCAATAAGGGCCAGAAATGATGAAGTTGATAACAACTAATAATGATGAAGGCAATAACAACTGATAATGATGAAGGCAATAACAACTGGAAAAGATGAAGGCAACAGAAACTAAATATGATGTAGGTAAAAGTGACCTGGAATGATAAAACCATTGACAATTACAAATCCCTGTTGTAACACATATTGTCAGTCTCACTGTTAGGAGGCCAGTAAATAAATATTTAACAGATAAACAGCTTACTTGAAGTTTGTCCTCATCCATGTCTTCCAACATAATACCATTTATATTGCGGTCCCTGAAGAGTTGAGCATAACGATAGATGTTCACTGCAGCCATCCAGTCGACAACATCACTGACATTCCAATCTTTCAGGGGCTGTAACAAAGCAGAATTACACTGAAAATGACTTGAAACAGAATATAACAGGTGTCAATGTCAAATACAGTTTTCGAAGAATTTCGAAACACAGTGAAATGCTGATAAATTGCCAACCATATAGTGTGTGACCCATTATACTGTCTATATATATTGTACCATTATCTTTAAGGTCTCCCCCATCATCATATTCCCATTTCTATATCATAATATACTGAATATATTGTACTATCATTTTATCATATTCAATTATCTTGACCTTTCACCTGTGACAACAAAGACATCATCATCCTGAATACCTGAAGTATTTATACTCTAAGCCCCTTTTCCACAGACGTTACATTTTATTTCAAAATCAAAACATGACGCAAAGTTTAAAGTAGTACATATAGCAATATATGTAACCACGAACCTGTCCCTTCCCTCCACCTTTTTTTTTAAATCAATGCATTCATCACAAATTTTACATAGCCTTGGGTCATCAGATCAAGGCCTAGGTGGGTCAGTTGCCATAAACTGGCCAGACATCGCTGGCTTTACTCCAGGATCTGCCACTTTCCTTTTACCAACCCAATTCCTTAAATAACCCTGACTATTAATAGGACATAAAGCAACAATGAACTAACTTTAAGCCTGTGACACTTATTGCTTTGCTTTGTGACCTTGACCTCTGCTCTGTGATACAATTTTCTTCTATCTTCAATCTTTACCCTATGACACCAAAAGTTACTTAATATCTTCATTACTTTTAATGACCTACACTTTCTTATTGTCAAGTTTTGAAGGTCATCAGCATACTCTGTCATGATTTCTTTATCAAATTTTATCTTGGATCATTTTCCAACAAATTTACCATAAGGGATGTTTTTATGAACTACAAAATGCCTACATGTACGTATAAATGATGCCAGAATGAATATTTTTCAAGGTCAGAAAACCTCTAAAGACCTCTCAAAAATACTTTCTTGAGGAAAAATAATCTTTCTTTAGTTAGAATAAAGACTGGTTAACACAAAATGGTCTAATCTCACCAGAATCCATATTAAACCACACACAAATGTATCTCTGTGGTAGAATCTACTTATAGCTGGCAACAGTGCCAGGTTATGCCCCAGGGAGTTTGTGTGGGAGAATGAAGATATGCCCAAAAAACTCCCAGAATGCTGCTTCGTGTTTTACTATTCATTTGAAATCTTATAAAAGGAAAACCGAGAACCAGATTGCCTCGGCTTGTGGTTTAGATCTACTCTGATTTGTAGGGGAGAGCCAAAAACACAACATACAGACTTTTACAAAGCTGTACAGCTGAAAGGGATAAAAACAGATTCCTTCAACCTCATCACTTCACTTTGGACAATAACTGAAAAATGTGTAGCATTCATTAATTTTTCTCTGTTTTGTATTTTTTTCTTTTGAGAATTGGTCAAAATCCTGAGAGTTTTTTTCTTTGACTTAATTACAACTATCAGAAATTCAAGAGTAAATTACCTAGGTAAGTAACTAATTATTAGTGGAAAAATGAGAGTGTTTACCTAAGACTTATTAACTAAAACCAAAACCCATACCTAGTGACATAAATCTGCTTAACAAATGACAAATATAACACTGTACAGCAAAATTGACACCAATGGGGAAATCTGTTACAGTTTGATCAAGTATAAGACAACTGTGTTCAAAAGTATTTTTAGATAAGTTTCTGGTATGTTGATTATACCTGACCATTAAGGAACTCTTCTACACACAATATGAGTAATACAAGTGTCAGGCAAGTTTACTAAAGAAAGAGTTCTATTCATAGATGAAGACACAGGCCACAGGGTATCAGGGATTCTGATCACAATGGATCTCCCTGACAAGCTATTTATAGTTACACGTCTCAGCATCAGTTTTTGTTAACCCTATTGTTCTAAGTGGTTTATCCCTGCAGGTAACTCCTTCTCATAGGGATTTTAGTCAACGGTCTTGCTGAAATTTGCCTGGCTCCAGCTTTCCCAGTCTTGTATCCATCTTGACTATAAATACACTCCCCTAATCAGCTTAAAGTATTTGCCAGTTTATTTAAAGTACATCCCAGCATTGTCCATGGTATATATTAGGTATTGAATCTGAATGTCCATAGTAAAGTTGTAATACATTACACAAGGTAGATTAGTTCTATTACCTAATCGTGGCAAAAAACTGGGACGTGTCAGAAAGATAGCAAAATAAAGAGAAACACAGAAACAAAAAAAAACAAAAAACAAAGAATAAACACAAAGAAAATTAATTTGCTGATCAGTACAGAGAACATGACAGTAATAGAGCCCAATACAGAATAAAGGGAGAGTTTATTGATTAGAATTAATACAACTTTACATTAAAAATCATTAATTAGTAATTTTAAGTGTTTACTTTATTTATACGGCGATAAGCCTATGCCTGGTAATAAGCCCACCCATATATAGTATACATAATGCTGTACATTGAAAACGCAAACCAATGACATTTCATTATCCTGTAAAACACCCACTGCTTGACTCTATATCAGAAGTAATGTGTTTACCCCCTTGGCTTATTGCAGGATCAACAAAATAAGCTATGTCTTGGAGTATCATCAACCACCTATAGTTGCCAATAAATAAGTCTTGATTTTTCATTGGCTAAAGGAAATAAATGACTTTAAGGATATATCAGCCTTTGAGTTGTCTCCCTTAAAAAGTAATAAAACCAGGAATTAGCCACATTAGAGAATGGTGTACATCTACAAAATGCAAATTACCAGGTTTAAATGATAATTTGCAGCTTTATCATATTCAAACTCGTGTGTGTTGGTAATGCTACAGTAAATTACCATATAGCAGTGTCTCACTGCTACCAAGTTTTATGTATCCAGTATGTGAGAAAACACTGGTATCACTGATTAAGTATATCTATAATTTGTTTCCATAACACTTTGGACAGAACCTTGGTTCAGTACGTATATTATGAATTTCTTGAACACTTTGGACAGAACCTTGGTTCAGTATGTATATTATGAATTTCTTGAACACTTTGGACAGAACCTTGGTTCAGTAGGTATATTATGAATTTCTTGAACACATTGGACAGAACCTTGGTTCAGTATGTATATTATGAATTTCTTGAACACTTTGGACAGAACCTTGGTTCAGTATGTATATTATGAATTTCTTGAACACTTTGGACAGAACCTTGGTTCAGTATGTATATTATGAATTTCTTGAACACTTTGGACAGAACCTTGGTTCAGTATGTATATTATGAATTTCCTGAACACTTTGGACAGAACCTTGACAGAACCTCGGTTCAGTATGTATATTATGAATTTCTTGAACACTTTGGACAGAACCTTGGTTCAGTATGTATATTATGAATTTCTTGAACACTTTGGACAGAACCTTGACAGATCCTTGGTTCAGTATGTATATCATTAATTTCTTGATTATTTTTTAGATAAATCATGAACTGGATTTTCTGTACAAAAACCTTAATGTCAGTGTTTTAAGAATTAGTGATACATTTCTCATCAGTCTTTACTTTATAGTTCCTAGGAACATGCTTTACATATCATTGTGCTTTTTTTTAAGATAAAGCACTGCCAATACATGTGGATGTGCGGAGGTGTGGGAGACAACGTTCACCTGTCAGTCCTACAGCAATAGGTACCATAAATAGATTCCACCCACAGGCAACATTTTATGTCTGTCCTGGCACATAATGGAGGAGAACAGGTGTGATCTGTCCAGGTAAAACCAGAACCAGAGGCTAGAAAAATGGCTATAGAGAAATTGGGTCATAAAGGGGAAAGCAGAAGGGACAGAGAGGCAAGGCTTTCACAATCAAGAAAGATTGGAGGCATGACTAGTAATATGAAAAATCATAAAAAGGCCATAAAAAGCATCATAATGCACTGTGACTTGTCTATCTATATAACATAATTAACATTCACTTATACATGTACAGGTACAAACAAGTTAGGCATGACTTAGCTAACTTACCACTTCTTTATCTTGTGTTTGGGGCACGATGCCATTTTTATCCCGCTTACAGTGACTGCCAGAATACACTTTCCAACATTTTATGTGACAGCACTTTTTGCAACCTGAAAGAAAAGTAATTAAGGAAATTAAGTCAAACTTACAATACTACAATCTCATCAATGTGTTACAACTGTGATTGGATGAGTTTCATTTGTTGTAAAAATCTTCGAACCAAATACATACATAAGTATATATTTATTTCATTTTAAACAATTGACTGAGAATATTGAATTGTGCTAATGTAGGCAATGACTACTGAATGCCTGCCCATCTCTTTTTTTCAAAACTAGGACTCAGTCAGGGAATCAAACCTTATTCCTACCATCATAGTGTTGCTGTATAATAGACTAATCCCTGTCTCTCAAATCTTTAATTTAATATGAAGAATTAAGATAATTCTCATCTCTTGGATATGCCTGATATTAAGTTCTGAAACGGAGGAATCAAATGTTTAGAATTTTAAAGACCTTGAAGTCAGTCTTAATAGATTTATACCACAACACCATGCTATCTGCAATCAGTATACAAATGATGGAAAAAAAATCAACACAAAAATATAAACAAAGGTTTAAGATGATTTATTTGTTAATCAGTTAAATGTATAGTGAGTTCCGTATATCTCATTTTCTAGGCAAAATTCAAAAAAATTAGTGAAATCCTTTTGACTCCAAAGCTAATTTCCTAGGTGTCTTAAATATATACATAATGTATATCGCTTTACACAAAATATTTTCTCGTCCGTTCCTAACCTTTAATCCTATTAAACAATCAGTACATGAAGGGTAACTTGTTGCACTGTAAATTCAAATCCTATTTCCTTTTTTATTCACGGGTCAAGATGAGTGCAGTTTACCTTAGCACATCGTAAATCCAGAGAATTTAATCTTTATGATTCTAATCTATGAGACAATAACTATTTATCGTACACCAGATTGGTGTCAGTAGATACAACTGGCATGCCATGCCAGCATGTACAGATCTCTGGTACTATAGAGCAACTCTGTATAATCTCCATTTTCTGTTGAACCAAATACAACCTCCATTTCTGTTTTCTATCAAGAAATGAGATCTGTTTCCATATCTCCCCTCCATGAACTTTAGTCATTTATTTATACTTCTGTACCTCCATTTCATCTTACAGACAGAGACAAGTAAATGAATTCGTGGAAGATAGTAGAATGAATTTCTTGGTCGATCCTGCTGAGGACCTGTGGGGACTTGGAAGTTCATGGGCACCGAGTAACCTCTATTGCCAATAACTGAGGACATATGATCTTGTCTTGATATTCAAATCAATTACAAGATTCTCCAGAATTCATTTATCATACAAAACAAGATAACTAATAAAAGATGGCTCAACATATTTGCACTGGTTTACCTTCCTCAAGCATTTTTACAGCATCATTTATTTCTAGCTGGTAAACATTTATTGCATCTTATATCAGTTTCTTCCATTAATGAATTTTAGCTGTGTATAATTCAGAAATAGCTGTCAGCTGTGGTAGATTATGTTGAATAAAAAGGTAAAAGACAAATCAAGTGGTCAAAAGTGACCTTGACCTGTTGACCATGACTTATGACCATCAAGATGTGATCAACTTGATGTTCCTATGATCATTAATCAAAGTAAATCTGGCAAGAGGATTACAAAATGTCCTTTACACAGCATTTTCAATTACGGTCAAATGTGACTTTCTGATAGATGTGAATAGGTGTTGATTAAGGCAGTGTTTAATCATAACATTTTAACTTATTTTCTGTAACTTATTTTCTATAACATATCATATGCCTGACATTTGATTACTTGAACAATTTTTTGAAGAATTTGAACAAAGACATATGAAAAAGGAATGATTATAGGACATGTAAGGCCTGTAATAAATGTGACCAGTAACGCAAGTATGTTATCAGCTAAATAAAAACAAACTTAACAGGGACTCACTTAGGTATACCTCCTTCATCACTATTTCGTACACAAGCTTTTTATTTGTAAATTGGGGTAAGGATGAACTTTAACCTTTAACTTTAATCAATGAACACTGACATCTAATCAAGTGTAGACCTTTGTGTTGTGATGCTATGGTGTTCATGACATATCTTGTACATAGTCTTTATATTTTCCAAAAGAGTTCAAGGGTGACCTTTGACCTTTAACCTCGAAAATGACCACCAATGTCCACTCCGGTGTAGGGCACCTTAAACATTGACCATCAAAAGCTATTCATGTGGTGGTGTACCAAATTTGTTCTGTGGTTCATTTATCATCGACACACATACCCACTCATGCATGGACGCCAAGACAAAAGTGATTACTGCATGCCCTACCATAATTAAATTAGAGTTTTAAAATAGGTCATGTGTCTGTCACATTATTTCAGTTCTGAATCTAGAATGAGGTCATGATTCCATTCTTTAACAATGGTTGAATGTTAAACAGCCATATTTGTTCTATTTCTTTATCTAAAGTATTGATCACATGCATTCATTTACATCAAATTTATTTAAGGAATTTTTTTTTTTTGCCCTTATGTTCAACCTATCTGTTAAGTAGCAGCAATTATAAATATTATTACCGATAAGATTATCAGAACAAATTGGTATTAATCAATTAAAGATTCTAATAGAGGGTAATTATCTGTGAAACCCAAGGACAGGTTCATAGAATATTTGATTGTTTCAAAGCTAAAACCAAATATCCAATTATGTTGTACTGACAGTAGAGCTATTTATATATGTGCTTTCTTTGTAAAACAAATTCATTATATATGTATGTAAGTTGTTTGTTACTTAAATATCTGAAAGTTATAATCCAAGACAAACTAGAACAGTCCAACATATTCATACATAGATACAGATGTATCAATAGTCAGCAGCTTGTACCTGTATCACTTGTATCATAATTATACACAGAATGACAGAAACAAATCCTTTACTACCAATCATCTATAGCTGCTTTCTTCATGCCTTTGTTTACGTTATCTATTCAGATCAACTGACATTCATAGTTTCACTGTTATAGCTAGTTCACAGAGCCTTATTAAACTTCAGATCAACTGACATTCATAGTTTCACTGTTATAGCTAGTTCACAGAGCCTTACTAAACTTCAGATCAACTGACATTCATAGTTTCACTGTTATAGCTAGTTCACAGAGCCTTATTAAACTTCAGATCAACTGACATTCATAGTTTCACTGTTTTAGCTAGTTCACAGAGCCTTACTAAACTTCAGATCAACTGACATGTATAGTTTCACTGTTTTAGCTAGTTCACAGAGCCTTACTAAACTTCAGATCAACTGACATTCATAGTTTCACTGTTATAGCTAGTTCACAGAGCCTTACTAAACTTCAGATCAACTGACATTCATAGTTTCACTGTTATAGCTAGTTCACAAAGTCTCAATAAAGTTGTGATCAATCAACATGTATAGTTTCACCGTTATAGCTAGTTCACAGAGCCTTACTAAACTTCAGATCAACTGTCATTCATAGTTTCACTGTTATAGCTAGTTCACAGAGCCTTACTAAACTTCAGATCAACTGACATGTATAGTTTCACTGTTATAGCTAGTTCACAGAGCCTTACTAAACTTCAGATCAACTGACATTGTCTATCTACTTTTGTAGATGTATAGAGACATGGTTCGTCTGGCGTTTTCAGCCAGATGAGCCAGAAACACAATCTTTTGTATATATTCACCTCATTTTGAAGTAACTGGTATTAGTTTCTGGGATGTTGACCATTGTACCGTAAAAACTGCCATCAAGTACAAACGGATTATAATGGTAGTGATGAGGAATGACATAGCAGAAACTGGTTAATAATACCCTAAAAGGGACTAGACAGGTTAGAATAGGTAAACCAAAGTCTTCTCCATCGATACCAATAACAAAACTCCCAACATATTTGAACATTCCAGAGGGCCTGCGTTGTGTAATGATTGTTGCCAAAGACTCCTTTGTACTGGAAGTCAGTGTAGTACAGAATCTATTTAGAAATGCATCTATATCTATAAATAAGCCCACCATTATAAGTAATGCTGTTAAAGGCCAGGGGGCAACCTATATGAAAAATCCCTTTATACTATATCTCAGCCTTTAAGTAGTGTTACCAACCAACGCTATTTCAACTGTCCTGTAATAAGCCCACCCCCTGACTTTGAGTCTAAAAGTTAGAAGTTATTTGTTGGTCCCCCTTGGCTTATTGTCCTGAAAGCCTACTCTCTCACTTTAAGTCAGAAGGAATATATTATTATAGATATATACAGTTATGACTATTTCTGAAATAAAAAACAAAATTCTGAATTTGTTTTTTGCTTTTAATATAGAAGTTACAAATAAAACAAAAAGCTCTAAATGATCTCAAAAATAACAAAATAAATCTTTCTTTTCACACTTAAATGCTAAAAATAGTCAGAATAAAAAAATTGAATCTCTCTTCTGAGGTGGACTGATTTGGAAGTAATGATTTTGTACCAGCCATTGTAACTGGAAGGTTGACAAAGTACAAAGCCACCTTTTTAGTACTAAGCTCTACCATAGTATAATGTCAACATTGTAATGCATACTTTTGTGGAAGCCTATGTATAGTGACCTCTCATGCAACATCTCTGTATATATTTAATATGCACTGATATACATAGGACATAAAAGTGGACAGACATACACCTTTCTCTATTTATCACATTTTAATTAGGTTTGAAACATGACAAATTGGAAAAGAGGCACCTTTATGTTTTTTAATCAAAACAACCAAGATGGAGTACCCTAGGGGCAAAGTACAGTGTAGCTATTCAAGTATATCACCAATGATTACCAGGATAGAATAATCAGGGGAAAAAGTAACTGAAGCCACAAAACTATCACCAATGATTACCAGGATAGAATAATCAGGGGACAAAGTAACTGAAGCCACAAAACTATCACCAATGATTACCAGGATAGAATAATCAGGGGACAAAGTAACTGAAGCCACGAAACTATCACCAATGATTACCAGGATAGAATAATCAGGGGAAAAAGTAACTGAAGCCAAGAAACTATCACCAAGGGTAACCATTCTCCAGACAAACAGTAACCAGCATGGAGTGTCAAAGGCCACAAAGTACCCAATACCAGAGTAACCAGGATGGACTGTTGAAGGGCACAAAGTATCCAAGACCAAAGTAACCAGGATGGACTGTTGAAGGGCACAAAGTATCCAATACCAAATTAACTAGGATGGACTGTCAAAGGGCAAAAAGTACCCAATACCAAAGTACCAGGATGGAGTAACCAAGGCCACAAAGTATCCAGACAAACAGTAACCAGAATGGACTGCCAAAGGGCACAAAGTATCCAAGACCAACAGTAACCAAGATGGACTGCCAAAGGGCACAAAGTATCCAAGACCAACAGTAACCAGGATGGACTGCCAAAGGGCACAAAGCATCCAAGACCAACAGTAACCAAGATGGACTGCCAAAGGGCACAAAGCATCCAAGACCAACAGTAACCAGGATGGACTGTTGAAGGGCACAAAGTCTCCAATACCAAAGTAACAAAGATGCAATGGTAACCAGGATAGAGTACTTCTGGCAATAAGTACCCATGAATAACAAATAACCAGGCCAACGATCCAGTATGTAGGTACAGCACCAAGAGCAGGAGGGAGTAGTACTGGAGGGCCTATATATTATCCTGGTAAACCTGAACAAGGTTACCAGCACTAGGATTGTGATAACAGTATTATGTGTGGTAGAGGAACTGAGATTAAGTGCACTATGAGGTAACCACAACTGACAAATACAATTCTCCCCAAGCACATCCCCACATCTCCATACAAACCGGGTGACCTACATCCCATGACAGATCATATCTGGTGGCAGCAATTATCTAAACTCGGTCAACCAGTTCCCCCTTTCAGGACAGGTTTGTACTCAACAGCTGTGGCAGCCTTCAGCAACACATATAATTAAGCCCCTGCTAAGCCAGATTGACTTAATGTAGAAGATCAAGGGCAGGGTATGAAAACCCAAATGTTTTGCATCTTTTTCCTTTATTTGATTTCTTTAGCAATAGTTTTGCCTGTAAGGTACATTTTGTGGTACATGGATTATATAAAATGTTGATGGATATTTTTTCCTTAAAAGATTTTCTTCAAAATTGAAGTGACTTTATAACATTTAGTACAGAATGCTTCCATTTATAGACTTGTAACTGTTGTCTACATGCTTTTACAAAATTGGTCCTGGGTACAGCATGTATATTTACAACACAGATATCACATCTTGATATACTCAGAATGTCTGCTGTTTTTCATCAAAGAAACAGCCCCTTTAAAAGATCCCACCAGAAGTGAGCAGCAATTTGGGGTACAGTACATACTGCAAAGATTGCTTTTTGGGAGAGTTCAAATTTTGATGGTGTTGCCAAATAATTTGAAGCAAAATGGATGTTATTTCCATGCAAGCCATCAAACAACCTATTGATTTCATAATCAATTTCATATCAATTATTGCTTTTTGAAAAATGTATTCCATCCTAAAAAATGATGAAACCTTAAATAATAACTTTAAACATATCATTCACAACAATTTTTACAAATCTGTTTCTCCTTACCTTCACATCGTTTGCCAACTTTTCCTGTTCCCCAGATATATTCTTTACCTGCAAAGACATAGAATGAAAGTTTTCATTATAATAAATGCATCAATCCAAGGAAACATATACTTTAAGAAAACATGTTTTTTTGTGAGGCCCAAATTTCATGTTTTCTTTGTTTTTGTTTTAATCACATTTGACATTTGATTCCAGGATAAATATCATCCAATCAATGTACTTATACTAATCGGATCAGCTTGTGGACAGATAAATTCATGGATTAAAAGTTCTCACATTATCGACACAAATAAATCCTCAACATAAATTAACAATTTAAAATTAATATCCAGTATAAATGTCAGGGGGTGCGCTTATTACAGGATAAAAAAACAAAATTTGAAGGTAATCATAATAAATACCGTAAGATAGATATGGGCTTATTACCAAACATGGGCTTATTGCTGGATATTTATGGTACATGATAATATTTATATCATTGTTTACTGGTTCTGACGGGGTCAACACCTACAATTGGTGATTTCTGAAACACACTGAAATGACTGCAATATTCCTGCATGCTTCCAGGGACCAAAAAAGGAGACTAAAGAGGGAATTTGCATAACAACATTCCTTTTTACATTTTTCTAACATTAATAACTTGTAAATTTGTATCCCAGACTAAACGTACAAGAAGTGAAGCAGTAAAATTGTCGTAAAAGTGTATGTCCGAAACATAAACAATACAAACTCATTAATCTTCCAAAACAACCTTTTGTTTTGGACTGTACCTATAGGTTCTTTATATTAACTCACATGTCTGGAAATTATACAGTTCACAAGAACAATAACGGCATGAAATACCAATGTATAACAAAAAATCTCGAGCCTTTTATGATGTCAATAAGAAATGACACTCTAGAAGGGTGAAATTTAAATTAAAATTTTTTTTTAATCATTTCACTTTTAAATATCTTGATGAATGTACAATAGATTTAAAACTTTACCAACTTTAAAAGTCACTGAGCTATCAACTACCATCCAAAATGACATACTGTGGGGGGTGCACACACTACATTACTGTAGGATTTCAAGTCTTTTTCAATCAAAGATTCTATAAGGCCACTATTATAGATTGTCAGAATTATCTGGTACGCAAAACTGACACAAAAAGGACCTGAGAATTTCTTTATGAACTACAATAATAAATAAGATAATGTATATACCAATGCAAACTATGCAAGTCAATATCAGGCAAAATCAGGACAAAGTGTTTAAAAACGTGACAGCAACTAACGAGACAGAAAACTAGTGATCGGCAAAGACAGTGGTCTGTTTGGGACATGGAAAAATTTGTTGATTACAATATGAACTATCTTTTGAAACACTTACATGTTCAACTGTTCGGAAATTGACAAGTTTCATTTTATTCTCGTATATGTATGATATCGCAATTAACCAGAAGACATGAGCACATTTCCCTTTTCATGTGTATAGGCAGAAGTTAGCGTTGACATATTAGTATGCAGAGTGTGGATTGAACTTATCATCGGACTGGATTTACTTCATTATTTATAAAAATTGATCTTATTGATGTTTACGAAGCATATCTATACGTTTAATAATAAAGAGGGAATGGTCTTGGTGCGATTTTCTTACCAAAACGTGTAATGAAACACAATACACCCATGCATGCCAACTGTACATCCCATGCCATGCTATTCCATGCTCCGTATTCTAAATGCTTGCATAAACAGAGTTGAGGCCTCAATTTAGGTCACAATGTGACAGCGAGACACGAAAGAAAATTTGATTTGCGGAAATCATAATTACCTGGTTTGGTCATTAATAGGTGGATATTGCACCTGTGATTTCAAAACTAACACTGTTTATTAAGCCTAGTGTGAAGACAAGTGTGTGTGTACATAAGATAAATAAATATGGATTAATTGGATAGGTAAGTGAATGATAAAGCATAACGCGGCTGATGTCACAAAAAACAAGAAATGCATAAACATTTGGCAGTTTTTTTCTTCAATTTTATTGTACCTATAATAATCAAAAGTCAGAAAATAAGATGAAACCAAATTTTTAGTTTTTAACTTTATATCATTGGTCTGACATGTTAGCTGAACATTCTTTGATTGATTTCTTAGCTCCCAGAGATCAATTTTTACTTAATTTTTGGGTGTACACATTATGCTAGTAGAAGCAGCAATTTTGACTAATTTCAGCCCTAAAAAGTACCTGCGTATGTTATGTAGGCGAGCACATTACACGGGTGTTTATGGTAATACCCATTTAAAATTCTGTGTTTCTACTAGTTTTCACATATCTGTTACATTATCACTTGCCTTACTGATCTTATAATTTCCTCCCACACTTTTTCTACACAATTTAAGTTTTCCTTTTCACAAAATTTGTAAAGTTTTCCTGTCTATACAAATTCACTGACCAGTGGTCAGTGTAGTCAGTATCCAGTTCAAGGTTAAGGTTCTTACACATGGAAAGACCCCACAAGGACAAGTCATGACCACCAGAGTATACCATTTAACCCATGGTTAAGATAACACCAAGAATTATTATTTAGCTGAAGATTATTGATTTAAATCTCTCTGCTACCAGCTGATCAAACCACAACTCGCTGACTCAGCGTATTTCTTTCCCTTCTCTTTTGTGGCAATTGTGGTTTCTGTTGGAAATAATATCTCTGAGTATAAAACTGTTAGAAGAATCCAAGGTATTTGAGAGACAAGATTAGGTCTCAATCTCCCAATCCTTATAACCTCAGCCTAATTCCAACAAATGGAAAGACTTTGAAAATCAATTACAACTCCTTTGATAAAGTAGCCTTTTGCTGAAGCAGCAGTTTGTGAGAATATATAGGATTCTTCATTCTCTATTTGGCTTGGCTATCACATTTACATTGTATTGCGACTAGCAAGGGTAATTACACTGTATATTAGAGATCACATTTTTTCAGCATCCTGTTGAAGATGGTTATAATGGTTTTTACCTGTGTTACAAAGAATTCAGTCATTCAATTCATAGAGATATCAAGATTCTTTTGAAAGGTCAACAGGAGCTGTAGGTAATATATTAAGGTGAAGAACAGACAAAGCAAGAATAGGCACCCTGAAGGTCTCATAATGCCATGTTTTACTGTAGTTTTTTTGTGGGAGAAGGCCCAATTTTGTTGTTTTGTTGTTATTTTCTCCTGATATGACAGATATGTGACCCTATGATAAGCAGATTTCTCTCCTAACGGTTGGTATCTGCATATCATGACATCCTAGATCTTGCTTTTGAGGAAAAAGAACCCATCTATTACAGCATCCTATATCTAACCTGTAAGGACAAGGTATTCACTTTTCATAACATACTAATCTTCCCTATAAAGAGAGAACATCCACTTATAGCATCGTAGAGGGCATCCACCTGTCATAGCATCCTATATCTTCCCTATAGAGAACATCCACTTATAGCATCGTAGAGGGCATCCACCTGTCATAGCATCCTATATCAACTTTTTAACGAGAGAAACTTTACCGGTCATCACATCCTATATCTACCCTATAATGAGAGGGAATCCACCTGTCATAGCATCCTATATCAACTTTTTAACAAGAGAAATTTTACCGGTCATCACATCCTATATCTATCCTATAATGAGAAGGAATCCACCTGTCAAAGCATCATATATCTGTCATATAAGGAGAAAGTGTCTGCCTATCATTACACCTTGTACCTGTCCTTATAGGGCCATGATAGGTAAATTCACTTGCTTTAAAGGAAAGATATAGGATGCTAATATCATAGGTGAATTCTCTCTCATATATTGTAGTTAAAGATGCTATGATAGGTGAATTCTCTCTCATATATTGTAGTTAAAGATGCTATGATAGGTGAATTCTCTCTCTTATATTGTAGTTAAAAGATGCTATGATAGGTGAATTCCCTCTCATACAATTAAAGACAGATTGGGTAGATAAGAGGTACACTAACCATGCTTATCTGTTCTACCTGGTTTCAAGAGGTCAACATTAAAACCGCAAAACCACAAACCACATGATCTGAATGTCGATTGTGACAATTACAGAAGGGGATTTAAATGCTGCCCTAGTGAGGTGATATTACAGCTATCACTGGAGATTTCCATACCTAACCGACTTTTTCAGACAACAATACATCTGACATTTGTAAGGGCACACTTTTGTGGCATTTCAACTTTTCTGCTGACACGATGAGATAGAATCTTAGTGAGGTAATACACCTTGGTCCTAAGACTGCCTTTATGAGGAGAAGTGCTATCAAGGTCGATGGTCCTGTCATTCTGGATTATAGGATAATGTCCTCTTTGTTGAAGTTCTATGTTTGTTGTATCAAAAGTTTGTGAAATAGATTAAAGCATAATGGTGCTGTCAGGTATGCGAAATGAGAAAACGAATTGACACCTATTTATTATACTATGGCAACATGTAATGATCTCTTCCAATTCATGGTTTGTAAACAAAATTTTTCTCAAAAAAGTGGAGACTTCTAATGAAATAATATTGATTAAATTTGTCAATGAGAAAAATGACCTTGATAGACATATGGTCAGTGTATACAGGTAGGATATTGCTGATGACTCAGTAAGTGACCTTGATAGACAGGTGGTCACTGTATACAGGAAGGATATTGCTGATGATTGTTGAAGTAACCTTTATAAACAGGTGGTCACTATATCCAGGTACCGAAGGATATTGCTGGTAATTCAGGAACAGTGACCTTCCTATTAATGTAGTCAATCTATACAGGTAGGATAACTAAAACTCAGAAATATTGGTTACAACATTAACATGAAAATTGTGTGATATGTTACCAGGTCTACTACCAACTCTAAATGACATTTTGTTCCATACAGAATTTTCTCAACAAAAAATGCACACCGGGAGAAAATACAGACTGAAGTTGTAGAGACACAAACCTACACATTGTGTATCACAGGGAAGCACTGATGAAAAGCTCAAATTTTTAAAGAATATATTTGTGGCTGAGTTATTTTTAGACATGCCATACCCAGTGAA